GCGCACTCGGGAGAGTGCAGCGCTGGGAGTGCAGCATCGTTCCCGCCGCGGGTTCGGATCCTGTATAGGGATGACCTGTGCGCTCACTGGCTGAACGCGGTGCGGCCGGTCTCAAAAAGGACAAAAACTAACTAACTAAATAAATAAATAAATAAAAGTCAAACTCATAGAAACAGAGAACAGAGTGGTGGTTGCCAAGGGCAGTGGGGAGGGGAGAAGAAGGGGATGTTGGTCAAAGGTTACAAAGTTTCTGTTACAAGAGGAATAAAGGGCTGGCTGGTCAGCTGCCTTGGTTGGAGTTCTGTGCTGGTGACACCGAGGTCCAGGGTTCGGATCCCGTGCCAGCCAGCCACGAAAGCAAACCACCACCACAAAAGAGGAGTAAGTTCTGGGGATCTAGTGTGCAGCTTGGTGACGGCGTTAGGAATATCGCATTACACACCTGGAATTTGCTAAGAGAGCAAATTTTAAGTATTCTCACCACAAAAAAAAAAAGTAACTTTGTGAGGTGAAGCATATGTTACTTAGTCTGATGGTGGTAATAATTTTACAGTGAATAGGTATATTGGACATCATGTTGTACACAGTAAATACATGCAATTTTTATTTGTCCGTCATACCTCAATAAAGCTGAGGAGGCAAAGTAAAATATATATATGTATATTTAAATTTAAAACTTCCATGATTTCTTCTAGTAATTTTATGAGTTCTGTTTTTGAGTGTTAATCTTTTCTCCGTCTCGAATGTTTGGGGTGAGACCTCTGTGAGTCAGGGCACGAGTTCTAGGAGGTAAGCCCAATTGTCTTCAGGGAGAAAAGGGATATCTATTTTGCTCAAGAAACACTGAGTGTCCAGGAGTCAAGGCTGCAAGCACCGCTGGATCCAGGAGCTCCCCTGATGCCATGGGACCCTCCTCCTGCACCTCTGTGGGCTTCATTCTCAGCCAGGTGCTCCCACAAGGTGCAAAAACATGCGGGCGGCTGCAGGGGTGGCTCCCTGCTCAGCCAGCCCAGCGAAGCTGGCGTCTGGCAAAGGCCTGGGGTGGGTCCTTGTCGGACAGACGTGACTAGTGCGGGAATGCATGCATGGCCTGCGTTTGTCCAGTGAGGGCTGCCCGAGGCCTTTTGGCCAGGTCTGGGTGGAGGGGGTGGGAGGCTCCCCAGGGAAGGAGCAGAAGGTACAGCTTCCCGGTGTCTGGCTCCAGCTAGCCACCCAGCACGGCGCTCCAATAGACGCCCTGTCCCCGCCGCAGACGCCATCTGATCACGGCTGTGTTGTCCCATCGGCTGTCTCCCGCCTGACTCCCTCCCATTGGCCTCCCTGTGTATTTGCGTGTTGACGCCAGACTTTTCTCTTCACGGTCGCTTTCTGGTCGCTTTATCCAAGAGCTGGTGAACTGACGCCTCCTGTCCCTGGCCACCCACCACTCTTCCTTCCCAGAACGTTGCTGGCTATTCTTAGGTTGCTTTTCCACTTGAATTTTAGAATCGGCATGTCTGCACAATTAGCCGTCCTGTTTTGTTGGGATTAAGTGTAGAGACAGGGTGTGAGCAAGTCCTCCTGTCCAGGGCAGGAGCCTGTCCTCCCTCAGACAGGCTGTCTCTTGCCCCCTTGGCAGCGCTTGCGGCTGTCCCCAGCCACCTTGCATGTTGTATGTTGAACTGTTCCTCTTTGCCTGTGGCAGAGGGTGGCCTGCTCCCCTATTCACAGAAGTGGGCATAAAGTACAGGAAAGGGGACGCAGGCTTGCAGCTGTGAGACCACCCCCGAACCCACCAATCTTGATTCTGCATCAGTCTCCAGCATGGAGGTGTGGGGGAAGCCAAGGGACAGCAACCATCCCTCTGCAAGGCAGCACTGCCCAAACTGTCCCCATGCGCACGTGGCCCAGTCAGCCACCTGTGGTCAGGGTGGCCCTGCAGCCTCCTCTCATCCCCTCTGGGAACCTCAGAATCAAGGGCCTGGACTTTCTCTAGCTGGGGGAGCCACTGAGGGCCTGGAGCCAGACCCCACAATCCACCTGCCCACTGCTTTTGGCCCCCACCACTGGCACCCAGAGAAAGCTATTTTTGCCGCCTGTGCCCGGTGAGGTATGGTATTTTAANCTCCCTGCTCAGCCAGCCCAGCGAAGCTGGCGTCTGGCAAAGGCCTGGGGTGGGTCCTTGTTGGACAGACGTGACTAGTGCGGGAATGCATGCATGGCCTGCGTTTGTCCAGTGAGGGCTGCCCGAGGCCTTTTGGCCAGGTCGGGGTGGAGGGGGTGGGAGGCTCCCTAGGGAAGGAGCAGAAGGTACAGCTTCCCGGTGTCTGGCTCCAGCTAGCCACCCAGCACGGCGCTCCAATTGACGCCCTGTCCCCACCGCAGACGCCATCTGATCACGGCTGTGTTGTCCCATCGGCTGTCTCCCGCCTGACTCCCTCCCATTGGCCTCCCTGTGTATTCGCGTGTCGACGCCAGACTTTCTTCACGGTCGCTTTCTGGTCGCTTTATCCAAGAGCTAGTGAACTGACGCCTCCTGTCCCTGGCCACCCACCACTCTTCCTTCCCAGAACGTTGCTGGCTATTCTTAGGTTGCTTTTCCACTTGAATTTTAGAATCAGCATGTCTGCACAATTAGCTGTCCTGTTTTGTTGGGATTAAGTGTAGAGACAGGGTGTGAGCAAGTCCTCCTGTCCAGGGCAGGAGCCTGTCCTCCCTCAGCCAGGCTGTCTCTTGCCCCCTTGGCAGCGCTTGCGGCTGTCCCCAGCCACCTTGCATGTTGTATGTTGAACTGTTCCTCTTTGCCTGTGGCAGAGGGTGGCCTGCTCCCCTATTCCCAGAAGTGGGCATAAAGTACAGGAAAGGGGACGCAGGCTGCAGCTGTGAGACCACCCCCGCACCCACCAATCTTGATTCTGCATCAGTCTCCAGCATGGAGGTGTGGGGGAAGCCAAGGGACAGCAACCATCCCTCTGCAAGGCAGCACTGCCCAAGCTGTCCCCATTGGCACATGGCCCAGTCAGCCACCTGTGGTCAGGGTGGGCCTGCAGCCTCCTCTCATCCCCTCTGGGAACCTCAGAATCAAGGGTCTGGACTTTCTCTAGCTGGGGGAGCCACTGAGGGCCTGGAGCCAGACCCCACAATCCACCTGCCCACTGCTTTTGGCCCCCACCACTGGCACCCAGAGAAAGCTATTTTTGCCGCCTGTGCCCGGTGAGGTATGGTATTTTAAATGTTTTGACATTCAGACTCTGTGTTGGATACATTGGTTCTGTTTAAATTATACCAAGGCTGCAGTGACTCACAGGGAATCGGTTTGTTTCCTGACGCTGGGCCCGGCCGTCCCCCTGAGCCCCTCCCAGCCCCCAGAGCAGAAAGAGGGACTAACCTGCTCCCTGTCCCCAGGACCTTGTCGTCCTGCAGAAGGTGGACCTCAAGCGAGAAAAGTAACAGAAACAAGGGGAGTGGGACAGTCCCCCAGGCTTCCCACCCCCACTTGGGGGAGGACAGGATAGACCTGCCACCCACCTGGGCTCAGTGGCTGCAGGAGAGAAGGGTGCCTGGTGGCTCAAGGAGCCCAGGCAGGGGACAAGAGCAGTGGCCCTGGGGTGGCAGTTGGAGACCACTGTCCTCCTGATAGATCAGAGGGGTCCCCACATGTGCTGTCCTCTTTGCTCAGCAGAACTTCATTCTGATGGAACTTGAAGGTAAACTCAGGCCTCTGAGCCCTCCTGAGTGGGGTCTGGAGCAGCTGTGGGAGTGGGCAGGACATTCGGAGGTGCCTAGGCCAGTGTCCAGAAGAGACCCTGGCACCCTTAGCACTTCTTGTTGGCTGCCTGGGTCTCCATGGCCACAGCCCTCATTCACAGGACATGGCCAAGCCTGTCCCCGCCGGGATGGCCTTTCCTGCCATGTTGTTGAGCGGCCCCCAGTCCTCATCGCAGGACACACAGCTGTGCTCTCGGGGCTGATGCACCCATGGGTGACACAATGTCAGGAGGGAGGCAGCCTGGAGTCCAGCCCAGGGAACCCCACACACAGATACCCCAGGGCTTCCTACTAAAACCACCACTGCCAGACTGCAGAGCCAGCATAGGCAGCTCAGCAGGATGGAGCTGCACAGCCCCAGCCCCAGCCCCAGGCACAAGGTCACACCTGCAGATACTGGCAAGAGAGACACCAACACAGGGCATGTAGAAAAGGGCATTTTAAAAAGAATAAAAAGCTAAGGAAGGTTTTAAAACTACTCATGGCTGTTGTTCCGTGGCCTCGGGGAGGTGTGCGGGTCTTGGTTCCATGGGCAGCCCATGCTCCAGGCCACCAGGGCCATGTTCCAGCTCTCCCCATGGGTGTCTGTCCACTCACCACTTTGTGCCCATCTTGAGCGGCAGCCTCAGCTCAGGCAGGAGGCGCAGCTGCCGCCCTCCAGATAGGCCACGGTCACCTGTAGCAAGTGCCTGCAAAGGACAGCCTCAGCACAGAGTCACTGAAGGAGCCAGGCTTGGGCTCAGACAGGCCTGGGTTCTGATCCAGCTCCCGCCACCTCTGAGCCAGGCGGCTTTGGGCCAGACTTTCGGCCGCTCTGAGCCTCACAAGGCCTAGCCTTGTGGGTTGACAAGGAGGGGGCTTGTAGGTCCCCATAAGAGAAGCCACACACTCTCCAACGCTCTGAGAGCGGCAGGGGTGGAGCGGGGGCGTGAAGGGGGGGAGGGTGTTTGTTAGTATCAACGTGAACTGGCTACGTACAGGGCAGAGGCACCGGGCTTGGCCATCTGATAAGACAGCCACATGCTCAGTTGAGACATGTCCAGGAACTTAGAGTCCCGGGGCCCTTCCCGCAGCTGGGACACCCCAGAGTTTGAGGCCCCACCCTGTTTACAGGCAGGACCCTGGGGGAGGGGTTCCCTGAGGGGTGGAGTCTGTGA